TAGCAAATAAGCGACACTAATATTTCATGCATACATATTTATACGTATATGCATAGTTCGCAATATCTAATATGGAAGAACTAGAGCCATCTTTATGAATACTGTAGTATGTGTAAATCCAGCCCTTTCTTGAACTTGCTCTACTATCCTAACTTCTACTTATCTATTATGACCTCTTCGGTTATCTCACTTCATCGTTTCGCGTTCCCATCGCCTCGAGGAAACCAAATATCCGCGTAGACCGCGTTATTAATGTTTAATGTTTAATAAGGAAATATCTCTCCCAAGAGTTGCCGCGAAACTCGAGACACGATCCTCTTTGATGGGGAAGCGACGCCCAATTTGCACTTAAACAAGAAAACTACAATTTAAATTTTATTATTGTGAAAAATCTTGCGTAATCTTCGCAACAGCATCACTACGCAAGAAATTATCATATATATAAATTTTATTATAATTAACATATAATTTTTATATAAATGTAATATAAATAAATAATAATAAATATTGTTCTCTCTCTTCTAATACGATAAAATTTGTTATTTAAGAAAACTCTAAAATTTATATATAATTGATATGTAAATTATATATAAATATATATGTAATATAGTAATCATTATTAATTACTACGTATTCGTTATGATTAATCGTACAATAGAAATTTATATCTATAAAAAATAAGGAAAAGGAAAAAAAGTTGCCCCTATAAATGCGTGAAATCATTTGTCTTAATTCGATTGGTAATATATTGAATATTGCATGCAACTTACAATTAGTTTTGCTCTGACGAAACCGCGGATGCGCGATTACGGTAAATCGGTTTTCGAAATTGCAGTAATTGCTCGAGGACCCTCGTTGCGCTCAAGTTGTCTTCCCAATATTGGGGAAGTTTCACGAGAGGAGATCACGCCGATATACGTCATCAATGTCTCCATCAATTTCGTCATAAACGTAAACAAACTTTCGGCGATTAGCAACTGTCACTTTTCGATTTTCCAACAAAAATTTGATATATTGCTTAATTAACCGCAAGTTATTAACTTTGTTACAAAGTTTTAAACTGCTTCTACGCGTCCTTACGAGGTCGAATGTCTAAAGGAATACATTTCAATTTTTCTACTGCCTCTCGTTGAAGATATCAATTTTCAATATTACACATTTGCTATTGAATATTAACGTATTATAAATATTAGTTAAGAAAAGAACACACTAATTAAACATTAGTATATTAAATTTAATCTTGATTAATAAAAATATAATATTAAAATATAAGAAATATTAAAATAGAAATAAGAAATTAGGACAAACAACACATTACAAAAAATACAAAACCTTAATATTAAATTTTAAAAATGAGATATTAATTAAGAAAAGATAACACAAAAAATGAAAAAAAAAAATTAAAAAATAAAAAAAAATAAAAATGTATATATAAAATGAAAGATAATACATATAAAAGATTGTGATTCTGCAAAGAGAATATAAGCTATGATGATATTTGATTATTTGAGAATGTATATATTATAAATTTATTTAATGTGCTTTGAGATTCGTGAGATTCAATTTTGAAATATCTATAAAAATATAAGATATATATAAATAAATAGAAATAAAAAGAAATGTGCTAAAGAAAATGTTGTAAGATTTTGACGCCAAATCTTGTACACCGAATGTACAGAAAGCATTCAAGCGAAAATGGTGTCCCTCAATTATCGGTGAAATTGAGCGGTGGCGAATTCAATTGCGTTTCCCTTCCCATCCATCTCTCGTCCAAAAAGCCTTAATGCACATTTCAACCGACATACACAAAGCAAAGATTATTACTTTAGCCCGCGGCGATTTGCCTTTTTCTCTCGCTTCGGTCGATACGTCGAAACCAACCGTGTAATCATCGATCCAAGGAGAAATTTCGTTCGAATTTCGTGGCTGAATGACACGCGGCGTAAAACTGCACGGCTATTATGTTGGCCGCGTTAATGATACAAAGAACATTAATGAAACTCTCCCGACACGTGGATTACATCCCCTGTACATGTACACATACACGCTATTTCATTATAACAATAATAAAGTCTTACTTTTCTTTCATGTGTAGATTTTAAAAGTAATTTTAAAAATTTAATTTTAAAAGAATTGTCTAAATTTCATATCTAAATATATGATATTGTTTCTTACATTTTATGACAATCTCAAATAACTAAAATATATATAATTATAAGAAATATATGTAGTATATATATGTATATTTTACTAGAAATAATGATGATGTTTTCTTCTTAAAATGCTGAATCTAAATTATCGTTTATATCTAATTATCGTTAATTTTCCTAGTCATTATTATTAATAGCAAATAAGCGACACTAATATTTCATGCATACATATTTATACGTATATGCATAGTTCGCAATATCTAATATGGAAGAACTAGAGCCATCTTTATGAATACTGTAGTATGTGTAAATCCAGCCCTTTCTTGAACTTGCTCTACTATCCTAACTTCTACTTATCTATTATGACCTCTTCGGTTATCTCACTTCATCGTTTCGCGTTCCCATCGCCTCGAGGAAACCAAATATCCGCGTAGACCGCGTTATTAATGTTTAATGTTTAATAAGGAAATATCTCTCCCAAGAGTTGCCGCGAAACTCGAGACACGATCCTCTTTGATGGGGAAGCGACGCCCAATTTGCACTTAAACAAGAAAACTACAATTTAAATTTTATTATTGTGAAAAATCTTGCGTAATCTTCGCAACAGCATCACTACGCAAGAAATTATCATATATATAAATTTTATTATAATTAACATATAATTTTTATATAAATGTAATATAAATAAATAATAATAAATATTGTTCTCTCTCTTCTAATACGATAAAATTTGTTATTTAAGAAAACTCTAAAATTTATATATAATTGATATGTAAATTATATATAAATATATATGTAATATAGTAATCATTATTAATTACTACGTATTCGTTATGATTAATCGTACAATAGAAATTTATATCTATAAAAAATAAGGAAAAGGAAAAAAAGTTGCCCCTATAAATGCGTGAAATCATTTGTCTTAATTCGATTGGTAATATATTGAATATTGCATGCAACTTACAATTAGTTTTGCTCTGACGAAACCGCGGATGCGCGATTACGGTAAATCGGTTTTCGAAATTGCAGTAATTGCTCGAGGACCCTCGTTGCGCTCAAGTTGTCTTCCCAATATTGGGGAAGTTTCACGAGAGGAGATCACGCCGATATACGTCATCAATGTCTCCATCAATTTCGTCATAAACGTAAACAAACTTTCGGCGATTAGCAACTGTCACTTTTCGATTTTCCAACAAAAATTTGATATATTGCTTAATTAACCGCAAGTTATTAACTTTGTTACAAAGTTTTAAACTGCTTCTACGCGTCCTTACGAGGTGGAATGTCTAAAGGAATACATTTCAATTTTTCTACTGCCTCTCGTTGAAGATATCAATTTTCAATATTACACATTTGCTATTGAATATTAACGTATTATAAATATTAGTTAAGAAAAGAACACACTAATTAAACATTAGTATATTAAATTTAATCTTGATTAATAAAAATATAATATTAAAATATAAGAAATATTAAAATAGAAATAAGAAATTAGGACAAACAACACATTACAAAAAATACAAAACCTTAATATTAAATTTTAAAAATGAGATATTAATTATATTGAAATTGAACATTACATTAATGTTGGTAAAATTGATTAATGGCACTTAGATTGTTATTTAGTATAAATCATTGATATATTTTAATCAAAAGTATCGATATGTCGACAAAAATGAAATTAATGGAAAAATTCGTCATTGTAATGATTCGTAAATATGTCAGTAATAGGATTCATACATCGAACTTTAAATTCACAATTCGTCGATCTGCCGCTAAAAGAGCCGAAAGAAACCCTAAATTATACGTTCGTAATCATGAATATAAAACGAAGCGGTACCAAGAAAGCGAAAGAGAAATCGTTGATGGAACGTTTTCGTCGTCATAACGATCGTGTCTCGCCGTTAATAATACAGTCAGATGTATTTACAGATAATACACTCGCAAGGGCCACATGTGGCATATATAACGACCAATGTATGACTCGTATGATTGTAATTTCGACGTCTACTATCATGATGAGTAGCTCCGAGATGGGGACGAAAGTTTCCATGAAAAAAGTGCCATTACCCGCATCCACGTGGGATTTATTGCCTCGTTTTTTGCTCCTTTGCGATAGATTATCCGACATCGTTTTCATCATATTTTCAGATGTACAAAAAGAATAATCAAGGATAAAGACAGTTAAAGAGAAATTAATGTATATATATATATAACCGTTCATTATTTTGTATTTAACCTTAAAAATTTGGTTCAATATCTTTTAGTTTCTATATATTTTTTTTACCCATGGGAATATTTTTTTCTGTTAATTAATTTGATTAAATTAATGTTTAATCTTATTATTTTATTGCAGAGAAATTTCTTATGTCTCTTGCATAATTAATAAATATATTTTCGCATTTTTATTTAAAAAAATAAAAGAAGATAAATCAATCAATCAATCAATTAATCAATTGTCTTTAAATAAACAATATTTTTTCTTTAAATTTAAAAACAGGTTATATTCATCATAATTTAACAATCAAAAAACAATGACTGATTAAATTTTCAAAAATGCGAAGAATTTCGCAAATAATATAAGAATTATAAGAACTTTACTTATTTTAAATACGAAGTTATGTCGTTTCTCCAATTTAAAATTAATTTAAATCACTATGGAAAGTGATTGCGATAATTGGTCAATTGGATTACAATGGATAAACATAGTTGAACTTGGAATGACGTTTAAGTGACACTTTTATATATAATATAAAAAATTTGCCTAAAAAACGAGGTACTTGAATCACCATCATGGTGAGAAACGATTGTGGAAGACGACGAACTTGTCAACGGACTTTCGTAAATAGATACTTAACATGATATTGCGACTTCCGGTCTGGGATGGAAGTCAGTGAGCCTCCGGACGAGGAGGTAAACCACCCAATAATCAGAATCAATCTTTCTGCGAGCTTCGAGGACGATTCTCATTTTCAAGACAATCCAGACATTATCGCCGAATCAAGCAATGTCACATTGATCGCCTTTAAAGGCGTCATAATGATCGGCATTATCGTCAGCGCTTTATTAGGCAACGCCTTGGTGATCGCAAGTGTCAGGAGACACCGGAAGTTACGAGTGCCCACCAATCGTTACGTAGTGTCCTTGGCAATGGCAGATTTTCTAGTGGCAGTGTGTGCTATGACATTCAACGCTTCCGTCGAGCTTTTCGGGGGCAAATGGCTGCTAGGAAGCATTATGTGCGACGTGTGGAATTCGATGGATGTATATTTTAGCACCGCCAGCATCCTTCATCTTTGTTGTATTAGCGTCGATAGATATTACGCGATAGTCAGACCGCTTGAGTATCCGGCCATTATGAGAACTGTGACAGTTACTGCTATGCTAAGCAGCGCTTGGATATTACCGGCCCTTATCAGCTTCATACCCATCTTCATGGGCTGGTATACTACACAGCAGCACTTGGATTTCCGCCGGAAAAATCCGCAGGTAGCAAAATCCAGAGCGATAATTTAATTTCAGAGTTTAAAAGTAGATTTATTCTGATTCCGCAAATTTATTTTTAATTTTGATAATAATTGACACACACACACATACACATCTTACATCCTTCATAAAATTGTTTCTTTAAATTATAATGCTTTATAAATATTTACCATTTTAATTTATAATCAAACTTTTCGAGAAAAAGAAATTTGTATTTTCTAGAAAAATTTTTCTATTTATAAAAATTCTATTGATTTAATTATAGTTTAAAAACGTAAACTTTCAACATTGTCTTGTTAATCTTTATCAATCTCAGTGCAAACATCGTTCTTCTGCAACCTTGAAATCTAGATTCGATGAAATAATATGTCGAACGGGTACAATTCTAGAGTGGATCAAGATATTATTTCGCAAAACGTCTAAAACTTTCGTTTATCAAAGTGCTTCTAGTTCTCTGCTTATCGCGTTCTCTCATGAATTATATGAGATGACATAAAGAAGTGATCCCTCATTTCAATTCCCCTATAGTTTTAATTGCACTCCTATCTCATGTTATTAATCTATTTATCGCTTTCCCGATCCCATTATCTATAATTTATACTCAACTCACATTCGTGACATTGGCTATTTTATTTAGAAGATATAGGTAGCATAGAAAGATTAATATCTGTGTCACAGACTTTATCAAAAAGTGCTTCAGAAAAAATTAATAATTCAACGTGATTATTTTCCCGAATACAAATTTTCCACTCGTAGAAATATTTGAGCTTTATTGCAATAACTGAATAATAAACATTATATAATTCTATAATGTATTTTGAAAAAGAACAATTTCTAAATAATTTATATTTAAAAAAACAAGTGTTAGAATTTTTATGATAGTAAAAAATTTAGATAATTGTCTGAAATTACTCTCGACAACAAAATTATAAAAATAGTAGCAAAATAGTAAAACGGAAGAACCCAATAGTAGATTAGTAGAACACACATCAGTTGTAAAAATAAAAAGAGAGAGAGATATTTCGTCGTTGATATTTTGTTGTATTTGAAAGCAATATAAAGTGCGATATTATATATAATGCGATTTATATCAATTATTATATCCATATTAGAGCTATAAATTATTGATTTCTACTCGATACAGTTTACCGTCGGAAAATTGCCAACAATAAGGCTCATTTGTCACAAAACTTTTATTAACTATTATAAGTTACTTACGTTCTTTCTCTTGTAACAATTACCGGGATTCGAAATTTCATTAAACTTCAAAAATAGAATCAAACTAATCGCTACATTTATCACATACACTTCTAATAAAGGTGTCTTGTTTTCACAATTGATCGTATTAATGACAATATTAATATCAGTCCCAACAGGAGGGAAAATCAATTGAGTATCGTAATTTGTATTTTGCTATTATTTTCTTAACTGGCATCAATGTAGTTATTTACAATATTCTTTGCAATAAAAATATCAATTTAGAATTTAATAAATTTCCAAACAAATTAATTGTAATATTTATCATATCCTCTCTCCAATAATATATTGTATTACTATATCCTTGATTGGCATCAATATAGTTATTTACGTTGCCCTTTACAAAATATCAATTTAAAATTTAATGAATTTTCAAATATAACATCAAATTAATTGTTACATTTATTTTTACTTCAATTAAAATATTTTTATGATTGAGTTCTCGTAGTTTCAGTCATTATGGAAATTGTAGATATTATTTCAGCTAATATCGACCATTTAATTATAAAGAAATTAATTACATATCATAATTGATACTAATACCATGTCATTTTTGAAAGCCAATTATATAAAAGCCAATAAAAATCAATCACGTTTGAAAAAGGGATGTTATTTTCAAAGTGTTTATAATTAATCGTGTATCATTAATGTCATATTATTTTGAAAAAAAGCAATTTATTAGCGTTGAAGTTCCAGTGATAAATCAGCTGCGGCGTCGTAGTATTCTCTAAAAAGCATGAGAAATTTGAGAATTTTAAAAAGGAAAAATAAATCTCACGCGATATAAAGCAGAGAAACAGGAGAGAGAGGAGCATATCCTCTTAAATTTCACTAGAAAAACATTTCCGAATTTTTAACTTTTTAATGGCTTACTCTAGTGATTCTTTAATAGCGCAATTCTGACGATTTCATTCACAGATAACTATTATATTATTAACGCTGTTTTTATTGAGAACGATAAAAAGTAACGACGATCTATCCATCTTTAATTCGTTTAATCTTGATTTATTAATAATATATGTCAAATCTACCGGATTTTTTTTTTATTTTTAACAGTTTTTTGAGAATTGAGTTTACGCACAACTCTTATAGATTTCATGTTTTATAGAGTCCAAAGTTATTTAAAAATTTCTCTAAAACTGCAACTGTTTTTGATTTCGCAAAACCCATTCTAGTTTACATATAATTCAGGAAAGAAACTCCGACTATATATAATTGTACGCGTTTCGCGCGATTGAAAGCTTTCGGCCTCTGCAATACATTATTTTAAAATTTTTCAAAATTAAAAAAAAAAAAAAGATATAACGTATAAATACAACGTATAAAAAAATACATAAAAACCCATATTTTTATTTAAATAATTTAGTTTTAAATAACTTCGTTAAGATGCAAAAATTTTCCTCAATGTAATTATATTCTTAAAAATGTCAATGCTACGAGGAAATAATGTTCATACTGAAACTTTGTAAGAAGTATATTATCAAATCAAATGAAATCAATTTGTTTCCATTTGTATCGGATTGACGATTAAAAGCACCTCTTTATAACTCAACTTAATTTAACCATGACAGAAGCAAACACAAACGACGAGTGTATGAATATCGATAAAGCATTTAATTAACCTTTAAATGGTAAATTGTTGGAAATCTCGGTAAGCAAACGATTATACAAAGCTGTCAGAATCCGATTTTAAAATAAATACCGCAAATTACGTATCATATCGAACATCCGGTATCATAAATTTGATATACATGTCCTACAAATTTTTAACATTAACAACTGCGAAAACAAATACTTCGACAAATTCGAAATAAACCTATCTCTTTAATCGAAGTTCTTTAGAAAATATTAATTTAATTATATTTTTTAAATGTTAAATACTAGATAAATTAATACAAAATAAAACTTAATGTCGAAAACAAAGTTAGTATTAAAAAATTGATAAAGTAAAATTTTAAATAAATAAATGTGTGTATAATTTCTAATAATAAAAATTTGTTATTCGCTTAAATTAGATACATTTTATTTATAAATTTTTCAATTTTTAATATCATATAAATCTAAAAAAGAAATAAGTAAGTAAAAACTTAAATTTAATTAAAACACCAAGTTCTTTTGCAAAATTAATACTTTTCGATTAATTCAAATCTATATCTGTATTTTTTATATAATATTAATTTTTTCTCAAGATATTAAAGTACAAAATATCTTATTTCAAACTATTTTTCTTTATATAATCGCCAATATTCGCGACCATGAAAAGAAGTCTGCAATATGTAAGTTCTGATATAAATCATATTATCACAACGCAGATTTTTATTTTCAGAGAGTATCTTTATCTTATGAGTTGTATACATCATAGATTTTATTTTATGAATGTATCCGACACACAATATACCGTATTGATTGGTATGCTGTCATTATGGCATATATGTTATAAATGCCATTTGTCGCGTTAGAAAGCGATTACATCTAGAAACGCGAGTTTAGTGTCGAAACGAATTAATCGTTTATATTATTATATACGTGCACAATAATTTGTCCCGATCAACACGATTCACAATGACACCGACGCAGTATTCTGTTCAAAATGCACGTCCCGGCGGATTTTCCGGCTGTTATTTTCTCCATTCTGAAAAATAGTAACGACAGTTCCGTAAAAGAAAAACAAAAATTCGTGTATATTTTTTGCAGCGTTTTATATCTGATCGCGTATAAAAAAGCGTAAAAATTCACGTCACCACAGATTTTCCGCAAATGCATTTTGTGATTTGCACGTGGCAAATATTGCGGTGGAGTTCCGGTGGATTTGCTGAATATAAAAACTGGTTATATATCGTTTACTAAACTAAGAGATATAATGGTTTCTTAAGATATAAAAATATAATTTTTTTCACACACAGAAAAATTATTAAAAAAAAAGAGAGAAAAAGGAAGGAGAGAAAGAGATATGTGACTACATATAAGTATAAAATACGACATATAAACATTTTTTAATTTTTTGTTGGGTGCACATATTTCGCATTTTGTAATTCGGATATCTATCAACTGTGCGTATACCATGATTTTTACAGGGTAGTTTTATTTACGATATGCGATACCGCCTACTACATTGTAAATTTTCGTGACAAGTTTTCCTCGTAATATAATAAACTATTGTTCATTTAATAATGTGAATTTTCTTTCACTGAGTTTTACGAATTTTTGAAACGACAAATAAATACGCGATAGAAGTTAAATGAGAATTTAAGTTGATTGAAATAAGAATGCAAATTTATAAAAAAATTCCAAATACAATAAATTTAAGAGACTTTAAAAGTTAGAAAAAGAGTCGCGGCGATATTTTTAGAATAAAAAAAAATTGCGAAATTAGATTTATAAAAATGTCAGATATATCACATCTAGAGTTAAATATTTGTAAGAAGGATGCACAATATACAACAATAAAAAAAATAAAAAAAAAGTTTGATATTGCAATCTCTTAACAACATTCTCAAATAAAATAATTATCAAATTATGTTTGTAAAAAAATCTGCATACAATATATTAAATTCTAAAAATTTAAAAGAAAATTTCCTTGTGTATATTTTTAAATATTAATAGATGTTTTATATTTGTAAAAATGCAAAATTTTAATAACTTTTAAAAAAGTTAAAAAATTGAAAAATTTTATTATTTTCTACATAATAAATATTCCCATATAAATTTATTTTAATTATTAAATAACATTTCTCTCTCTCTCTCTCTCTCTCCAATATTTATTCATGAATCGAAATTCGGCTATCATCGATTTCGTGAATAATTTCAGCTCGTAAAAAATATGAAACATGAGCAGAAAATTCACAGTTAA